TTATACTGTTGATTGTTTATGAGCTAATAACTAAATTAACCATTAGTTACAACAATCATTTGTTTAACATATCACTTAATTTGTTTACTTGTTTACTTCTACATTTATTTCAATTTCAACACTACATGATCGTTATTTTACTACACTTAGTAAAATTTTGGCACATTTAACTTGTGTTTGTGTTGAACTTTTATTTCAAAATGGGAGTTAAACTTGTCATGTTAAGTCATACGATTGCAATAACTTTTTATTAACATATTTTCACTTGAAGTCATTTGAAGTCTTTAACAGCAGGAGATCCCTTTTTAATTTATGTTTATGGTACGTGGTTAGGGTACATGGTATATGGTGTAGAGTAATAGGATATATGGTTAGGGTATAAAAATTAGCAAATATCACTTTTTCATCTGTGTTTTGAAAATCAAAGTATGAATTTCACATTTAAATTAACTATACTAGCAAAATCACAACTCATAAGGATATATGGTTAGGGTATAGGGTATGTGTTTAGTGTATAATGTATGGATGGTTTAGAGTATATGATCAACAACATACACTAACTTAATATTGTCGATTGAGGGTAACGCTAAGTGTATAGGATATATGTCATTGAGTAATTTATTATTGAAGTCACAACAATTTTACTAAATTTGATAGTTAATCTTTAATGTTTCAATTTTTAGGATAATTCGAACAATTTTATAAAATAACTTGTTTGGCAACAGTTTACTGGAAATTATTTGGGCAATGAGTTATTTCGAAATTATTCCTTTTATCACTCTGCTTTTGCCAAAATACCACACACCAAATACCATATTTGCATGGTTATACTAAATGAGATACTTTAATCCAATTAATACTGAAATAATACTAAAATATCAAATAAACAATTAATGGTGTCTTTTGGTTGCGAATGTTGATATCACCATTACTATTAGCTAGTGTACTTTACCAATTACGATTAATTACATAACAAGTTTGCAAGTCATACAAATTGATTCAACATTTTGACTAGTTTTTTTTAATTAAGTATATATATACGAGGTAGACAGAGATTGGTTAAGAAGTTGAGAAAAAATATTTTTAATTAGTGTACTAAATTGTGTAAGTTGGTAACGAGTAATGTGAAAGTTACTCGATGCGCTGGCCCAAACAACCCGCAATCCGATCCGCCCGCAACCCGCCTGACCCGCAACCCGATAAACCCGCAACTCGATTTGCCTGCAATCCGATTGAACCCAAAACCGATGAACCCGCAACCCGACTAACCAACAACCCGTTTGAACCCTAACTCGATGAACCCGCAACCTGACTAACCCGCAACCCGTTTGAACCTGAACACGATTGAACCCAGCCCGAACCCGCCCGTTTAACACCTAATTATGCGGTTGGAGCTGTTCTTAGTCAGAGATGCGATAAGCATTTCCAGCCTATCTACTACGCATTGGAGACCTTGAACGATGCTCAGGGGAACTACACCACCACCGAAAGGAGCTGCTCGCCGTTGTGTATGCCTTCAAGAAGTTCCAACCGTATTTGGTGCTTTCTCATGTTGTGGTCTATACCGACCACTCGGCCATCCGCTACTTGATGACAAAGACTGACGCCAAGCCGAGGCTAGTCCGGTGGATCTTGCTTCTACAGGAGTTCGATATAGAGATCTGGGATAAGAAGGGAGTAGAAAATGTTGCATCAGATCATCTTTCACGGTTGGAAGCCTCCCCGGTGGACAACCTCATGGAGGATATCAACGACTCCTTTCCGGACGAGCGACTTCTGGCATTATGCTTGGTGGATAATGTCACTCCTTGGTATTCTGATATTGCCAATTATCTGCTGGGCAAGCAGTTACCTAAGGGGATGGCTACTCACGCTAAGCTTAAACTCTTCTCCGACCTGAAGTACTATTTCTGGAAGGATCCATACCTCTTAAGGATCGGAGCATTTTGTGTGATTCGACGTTGCGTGATTGAACACGAGATGGGAGAAATCCTGTCTCACTGTCACGAAGGACCAGCTGGCGTGCATCACGGAGGGAACCGCACGACACAGAAGGTGCTCCAGTCGGGCATCGCATCCCCCACGATTTTCAAGGATGTTGATGCCTTCGCACGCCAGTGCGATCGATGTCAACGATCAGCTCACATCTCTGCCCGTGATGAGATGCCCTAGAAGTCATTTGTGATTTGCGAGATTTTCGATGTCTGGGGCATTGACTTCATGAGTCCCTTTCCTCTTTCGTTCAGTAATCTTTTTATCTTGGTTGCTGTGGATTACGTCTCGAGGTGGGAAGAAACTCAAGCCATGCCCACCAATAATGTAAGACGCGTCTGTTCATTTCTATAGGATCTTTTCTTAAGGTTCGGGATACCTCGAGCCATCATTAGCGATATAGGAACTCATTTTCAAGGGCAGTTCACTAAGATTCTCTCTCGCTATGATGTGAGGCATAAGGTGTCGGTAGCTTACCATCCCCAAACAAATGGTCAAGCCGAGCTAACGAACCGGGTGCGAAGATGGATTATTGAAAAGATAGTGGATCAACCCTGTAAAGATTGGTCCACCAAGCTCGATGATGCTCTGTGGGCATACCGGACGGCCTACAAGACACCGATTGGGACCTCTCCCTATCGGCTTGTCTATGGAAAGGTCTGTCATTTGCCCGTTGAGTTAGAGCACAAGATCTTCAGGGCCCTTAAGCTGCTAAACCTTGATGTGAGTCTTGCAGGTATCAAACCTAAAATGCAGCTGATGGAGTTAGAAGAGTGGCGTTACCACACCTATGAGAACACCAGACTGTATAAGGAGTGGACCAAGCCTCTCCACGACGCTCGACTCAAGGGCCCGAAAGAGTTCCAGGTGGGTGATCGAGTTCTTCTATACAACTCTTGCCTACGACTCTTTCCGGAAAAGTTGCGCTCCCGGTGGTCTGGAACATTCACGGTCACCCAGGTGTTTCCCTACGGCACCATCGAAATCGCCAATTCGTAGATTGAGCCCTTCAAGGTAAATGTGCACCGCCTCAAAGTGTACCTGGGAGGCGATGTTGAACGGGCAGAATTGGTAATTGATCTCGCGGATCTTAAGCTCCGCCACGGGCGTCCATCTAAAAGATGATAAAGAAGCACTTGTGGGGAGCCAACCCCACCTCGGTTTGGATTTTCTTCCTTTTCTCTTTTTAGTTTTTTGATTTCGTGTGTCGTGTGTCGAACATGGAGTTCTGTGATAATTTATTATGCCGTGTTGAATCTTTGTTGTAAAATTTGGTCTCAGGGCCTGTGGAGTGTTTTGGGAAGATTTTGGTGCGTTTGGGTGGAGACAGCAGAAGCTTCTCCGAAGTTACGGGATAAGGCATCAAGTTACAATCCGTAACTTTGGAAGTCTGGCCGTAACTTCTTGAAGCCTTATGGGGACGACTTGGGGTGATTCCAAGAGGTTATGGGCAAAAGCTCAAAGTTACGGTCATAGCCGTAACTTTCATGCCTCGCCTGTAACTTCCAGTCAACAACCCCAGAAGGTTACAGGCACAGCGAAGTAATTACAACCTCATTCGTAACTCCTTCCCCAACCCGTAACTCTCCCGTCTCAGGAAGGGAGTTACGACCAAAGTTACATCCGTAACTCACCCGAGTATTCCTTAACTGAACGACTCGCTCTGAGTCAGGTAGTTGCGACTTGAGTGACGGTCGTAACTCGCCCGATGAAGCCGTAACTTCAACTTCGTCTATAAAAGTCCGAGCTACGCCCGTCACTCCGCACCAGACCTTCACCCACCCTCGTCAGAGAGCTCCGCCGCCGCCGATCTTCCATCGTGCCCTCCGACCACTCCCGACCTCCGATTGCGGCGCCGGGCTCCCCTCGGTGAGGCGCACCGACCGCGGCCTCCAACTCCCACATTGCCAATTTTTCTTCTTTGTCGGAAATTGCCTCTGGCGACCCTCTGGCGGTTTTTCCTCAGGCCGAGTATGTCCGGTGTTCTCCCTCTTTCCCCATCGCTTTACCTTCCTGCTTGAGTCTCCAGGTTGGTCTTTTGTTGCCTATATCTGTCTTTTTGGAGATTCGGATTGTAGAGTGTAGAGTGATTTGAACCTGTTTTGCATGCTTAGATGTTTAGGGGGGAGAATGCAGTTGCTTGTTTGTGTGGTGGTATGCCTGAACCTGTTGGTCCCTAAATTTTTGGTCGTTTATGCAGTTTTCCTAATGCAGTATAGTGGATTGCGCTTAAGTGTGGGGGAAATGTTGGTCCCGTTTGCCCGCTTTCCCCACCTATCTTGGTTACTAACGAGTTTCAAGGTGTGTGGTTGTCTGTTTGCAGGACAATGGTCAACCTGGACCATGCCTTCCTCCAGGGCCTCTGCTACACCGAGGCATTTGAATTTGCGTTCGCCTAAATGCGTGCGGCCGAGATTGGGTACCACTACAACCTCAATCTCGCCTACATCGACTAATTCTTATGGTGCAATGCCATCGCGGCGGCCATTCCTCACCCTCAGTGGCGCCGCCTGCTGGAGCTTCAGAACGATATCTACGAGGAGCTCACTTTTGAGTTCTACAGCACTTTCAGCCACACCAGGAAGAAGCTGGCTTACCATGAGAGCGCGGTCAATTTCCGTCTTGGAGGTCACCATCACAGCTTGAGCTACCATGAGTTCAACACCGCCCTGGGTTTGGACTCCATTCATATGCGCGAAGTCAACCCTACCTCCCCGCAGCCGAATACCAGGGTTTTCACTACAAGAAAAACATGGTTTAGTGTTGGTTATTTTATGTATTTAGTGTCGGTTAACCGACACCTAATTTTTTTTGCGTCAGTTCATTGATTTGACACAAAAAATGCCGACACTAAACCAATCCGTGTCGATTTTAGGCAACCGCTAGAATAACCGACTCAAAATTATTTTGCGTCGATTAGCGTCAATTATAAACAATGCTATTTATTTATGAGAAAATCCATTTTTTGTATTAGAAACACAAATTGTGTTGGTTGCTATAACCGACTCAAATAATTTAAATTTTTAATAAAAAAATATCCAGCTCTTCGCCCGACAAAAGTCTCCGCCACAAGCTGCGTTCGCCCTCCTCGCCGTTCTCCTCAAACAAATCCTCCAATCTGGGTTCCAATCACCACTTTCTTCTTCCTCTACTCAATTTTGGGTTTAGTAACCCAGCTCCCGAAATCATCATCGTCGAATCTCTTCCTCTTAGCTCCCCTCTCCACCTCTTTGCCAATCTCTTCCGCTTCCTCCTCATCAATTCTCTACCCAAAAAAACAAAAACCTAGAAAACTAGAAAACCCAACATGCTCTACCTTTAATGTGTACGGGATCTATCCTTTGAGACCGAGAAAACAAAACCCCCAAATGCAACCCAACAATCGAAACCCCCAAACCCACAATTGTAACCCTTTCAAACCCTAAAAACGCAAACCCCAAACCCAACATTCGATACCCTTTCAACCCTGGAAATGGCGCACAGGTGACTCATTCAGGAAGGCGAGCTCTACTCGATGCGACGAAGGGGGAGGCACAGCGCGACAGTGGTGGATGGGAAGGAGCTCCGATGATAAGGCCTCTACTCGGTGCGGCGACAACAAGGAGGCGTGCGATGACGACATCTAGGAAGGAGTTTGGGCAACGGTGAGGAGGCGCCAACATACGGCTATGAGGTGGTGCTCGTCTCTTTACGGAGTAGAGTTTGCTTGCAGAAGGAGAAGACGGTGAGTAGGTTCATGCCTCGTGGCGGGTCTTCATCTCCTTCGTCCTCGCAGTCCTGTTGGGAGTTAAATGGTGGTGGAAGCGGAGCAATGGCGATGAGGATGGTCTGATTGGAGGAGAGGATTGGTTGGCCGGGGGAGTCATTTTTTGTCGTGCCACTGTCAAGAAGGAAGGAGAGGAAAAAAGAAGGGTTGGGAGAACGAATAAAGAATGTGATGGAAGAGTAAAGTACGAAAGATAATTTTTGGATGGAGATTTCAATTATTTGGGGATTAATTCAGTGGGCTGTATAGGCAAAATTGAGTGGCAAGTGAAAATTGGCCGCCCTTTAAAAAATTAGAAATTTTCATGTTGGAACCAAAATTTCATTAACATTTGTGTCAGTTCCCAATATAACCGACACAAAACCACAAAACATTGTATCGGTCTTTTTGATAACCGACACAAATTCATGAAACTTGCGTCGGTTCAAACTTAAACGATACAAATCCATAAAATTTAGAGTCGGTCATTGAGCTGACACAAAATGGGGACGCAAAACAAAAAAATTTCGTCGGTTAAATGAACCGACACAAAGCAACCGACTCTAAACCATTATTCTCTTCTAGTGTTCTATGAGTTGTGCCAAGGATGGCCTCAACCTTAGCTATATTCTCGCGATCTCCTTCTCCCGAGTGAGGAACCACTCGAAGGTCACCACTCTACACGGAGGGGCCTTCATCACTCAACTTGCTCGGTACTTTAGTGTGCCACTTGAGGACTGCACCTTAGTCGGACGTGTCACAGACTTCCCCGATGAGACCCTGAGCTCCATGGGGATGATTCGAGTCACGAGGACCGACTCGCAAATTCGATGGATCAACGGCCTGCGACCGAAGAGTTTGATGAGGCGGCGGCGACCGAGCCTCCACCACCTCCACCCCTCCAGGACCCGCTGCAGTTCTTCCCCGTGACCCTGGTGCCGGGTTTTCTTTAGATGTACCAGTCGCCGGCTACTGGGCCACCATGGAGGCTCACTTTGATCGGATGAAGGCGAGCTTGGATCATGAGCGCGACGACAAGCATTACACTCACTTCCTGCTGGAGTGCCTGTGCTCGGAAGCTGACATGGACATGACCCAGACCTTCTGGCACCCTTCTCCACTTCAGGATGATGACGAGGAGGATTGATGCTTGATCGCAAGTTCCTTGTGTTGTGTGCTTTGATGTTTTGTGGTTTTGAGTCGAACTGGATTTCGGTGTGTGTTTTTTTATTGTGTTCCATGGGGCTTACACTTATGTTCCTAACTCTTACACCGTGTGAGTGGTTGTTGTTGTGCCTTGCCATGTTTTACAGAATCTGGTCCTTCCGGTTTGGCCCTCCTGACTGGTCCCAAGTCAGTCCCACTGCAGTCCGTTTTCCCGGTAATGTCATGCTTAAGTGTGGGGGTGTGTATCTTTGGTTGCAAGATATATTTGTGTGCTTGGAGCCTAGTCCACTGCCAAATCTTGAGATTTGAAGGCTCCAAGTACTGATGTTTGCATGATCATATTGGCACTGTGATTGTATGTGGTGAATCGATTAGCTATTAGCATGGATGCGTGGTAACTTGTTTGTGACTAGGACAACCTATTATGATGACTGAGACATGCAGTAGAGTTGGGTAGGGGTTCAATTTTTCGACTGTTCGTTTACCAGGACTTAGATTGATCACTCCTTTTGTTACAGTTGTTTATGCATCTAGTTCTGGGGATCATAATGTGAGACTATGCATATATGTAGCCATGTGAGATTTGAGCCTGCTCATTTCTTTCTTGTGTGATAGATCCCTCTTCCATGATGTGTAGCATTCACATTGTCACTAATTAAGATGATGGAGGCATAGGTTTAGCCCACGACCAAATTGACTATCCTGGTGTGTCATACCCCCTAGTCTGCCCATTTGAGCCGTGTACCTTTCTTTCTTGGTGTCTACAAAGAAAAATCACCTTTTCACATCTCGCAGAGGTTCCACGGAGTGGTTTTTGCATGCTTTCTGATGTTCTGCTGAATAGTATGTGAGTGTTGCAGGCCGTTCTAAAAAAGTTGGGCAGGTGCATGAAAAAGATAATGAAGGTGGCACGTTTTAGCTCTCTAATCGAAGAAAAATTAAAATGAAAAAAAAGAAAACTAATAAGCAGAAGAGAGCTGCCACCATAAATTTTAATAGTGCCCATAACAAGTGGTGTTTCTTAGCAGTTTGGCTGGGAAATGCTGATATTGTACCTTTTTCACTTATGTGCTCTTAAAACGTGGATGATGCAGAATAGTAGAAAAAGAAAGTAACTGGTTTGGTTGAATGTCATTTTGCTGGGTTTGGAAGTATGTAAACTTGTGCTATGAATTATTCCACCACCTAAAAGGCATTTTCCCCATGTCCAAGACCCTAGCACGTCATCTGAACCTGTGTCTAAGACCTCTGGATTATTTAGTGGTGACATTTGATATGTGAGCTCTAGCATTTAGAGGCTATCTGTCATGGGAAGAGACGTTCGGGAATGAGAGTATGAGTATGCACACATCTTGCATCAAATTTTGTCCTGACTCCACTAGTTGAGAGTGAGCAATTCGTTTTCATATTATATATCCCGATGAGTACCTAGATTGCTCGGTCTTGATTCTAATGTCCTAAATTCTATGCATGAGGTTATTGTGTTGAATGAGTGGTTGAGTCGAGTCTATGTTGGTCGGTGAACAGAAGGGGGCTCTTCCTTTATCCGATTTTGCTGCACTTGGATGTCATCGGTGGTGGTTGACCAGGTTGTTGTTGCTGTTGTTCATATGTTGATGCCTAGTAGCCAGTATGATTCACGTATTTTGTGTCTCTCTGGTATGTCCCCAAGGTTTGCATGGTTAAAACATTTTGAGCTTATTGGGTGTCTGATTTGGTTTGCTTGGGAACAAGCAAACGGTTATGTGTGGGGAATTTGATAACACTATATTCAAACATGATTTTCCCATCATTTCTTGATCATTTGAGTCTGGTTTATCCCTCTCGTGGCTTGTTTTACGCTTGTGTGTGTTAGTTTATGATGTTTCAGGTCTTAGTGCATGAACGGGCACGAAGGAGTGAGTTTCGGGGACATTCTGGAGCGAATGAGCAGCGAGTACATGGGAGTTACAGCCAGACCTTGCAAGTTACGGTCTGGCCCGTAACTCCCCTCAAGGAGCTGTAACTGTCGAGTGAAGAATGCCAAGGTTCTAGAGAGCTTTTTGGAGTTACGGCCAGACCTTCGAAGTTATGGTCTGGACCGTAACTCAACCATTGCTCCTGGGCAGCGACAGTTCCACAAACGTTTTTTGAGTTACAGTCTTCCTCTTCAAGTTACGTTCGAGGTAGTAACTCCTCCAAAGAAGCCGTAACTCTTGGTTTACGGAGTGCAGCAACGACGTTGTTTTCTGGAGAGTTACGGGCGGGCAATCCAAGTTACGGCCGTAACACGCGGATTCTCAGCTTATTAAAGGGTTTCTCGTGAAAAATGCAAAGGATCCAGATTTTACTGAGTTATAATGGCAGAAAAAGCACCCTAGAGACAGAGAGAGCGACGAAGAGAAACCCTTGGGCAATAGCCGCCATGAGCAGATTCCTGACTCACTCCTACTGTCACTCTAGAAATTCGCCAAGTGTAACCACTTCCTAAAGCGTAGTATAGCAGGTTTGGGTTTTAATGTCAACCCGGGTCCTAGATGTGATGAATACTCAGTGAATTCTTATTATCTAGCGGTAAAACTTAAGTGATGTGATCAAAGTACGCAGCTTCAACGATATTTTTATGATTTTCTGATGTCGCCTTTCTTGAACTCGAAAAATAAAGATAGATGCGGAATCAATCGGACAATTCCTAACTCGTGATGAAGGGCAATTGGTATATTAAACCAATCGGACAACACCAACTCGTTGAAAGGGGCAATTGATATAGGGTAGAAGCTCGCCACAACTAGACGCATTCTCTAGTTGATAAGAGACACGTGAAACCTCTGGAGCACTCTCGACAGAAGCTTGCACAAAGAACCAGTTCGTTTGAACTTGAAACTTGAAAGTTGATTGATAATAGAATGAGTTACAATGAGGAACTCAGCCTCTTATTTATAGACTAGCTAACACAAATCCAAAGCTTAAAATGAAAAACAAGTCCTACAAGTAAAAGGAAAAACACAATCCTTAAAAGACAAGTAAAAGGAAAACACAATCCTTAAAAGACAAGTAAAAGACTTGGTCAACAACTCCCTAGATTCTAGCCTTGCAATCCTCCCTCACATGGCTTGTGTTCACACCTGATATTCCTTTCACACTTGTACTCCTTTTCACACCTTGTGTTCACACCATGGGAGATCTTCCTTCCTTCTACCAAGCCCATCTTCTCTTCATTCTAGTCCATAAATCGTAGCAACGTGATGGACTTTCCTTCTAGCAAGTCCACGTCCATCAAGAATGATCCCATTTGATCCTTGTATCGTCGTACTCGGACCTTCATCTTTGGACCACGAGAATTATATATTCTGCCAATTGATTTCACATCAACAAACTCGTAGGCCTTGCTTGCAAAGACCTTTTCTTCCACCTTGAATGCTTTCAAGCTCTCTTTAAACCTCTTAAATCGTCTCTTGAACCATGGTCCATGTAGGTATCTAGTTTGAGCTTGAGTGACGTCATGCGGGGTGAGCGGGGTCGCATCATTAAGTGCAGGTTCAAACAAGAAAAAACACAAAGCAAGTTAAACGGTTGTTTCAAGTCGAGAGAGGTCACCCGGATATGGTTCCCCCTAGACTGCAGTTAAGACGGATTGCAATTTACCAAGTTCAGTTTCCATGAAAGTTATACTGCGGAAGGTTCTTAAACAGTCTGAAGTCTCGACTAAAGGTCTCCAGACCCTCTCAATCTGAGTCTCCAGCGGGCGACTAACCTCCACCGGAGTAAACAGATTGAGCCCCTAACGAACCAAACCTCCACTACCGAATTGAATTCGGTACAGAATAGTGAATTGGCTCCTCGACTAAAGTCACCAATTCGCCACCTTCAATTAAGGGTGCTCTATCAACCTAGGCAGATATTCTCATTCTAGGTTAAAGCAGAAACAACAGGAATTTGATTAGGATTCAAGTCATTCAATCATTCAAGCCTCAATCAAATATAATCAACTCATGAAATCTGTACTTGGGTTCATACAATCAGACCTAACATACAAATCTAGGGTTCTCCATACCCAGATGAATGGGAAAACTACTCCATGGAGAGAGAAGCAAAAGCAGATTCAGACGCGGAAATCATACTGTGAAGGATGAGTTTCTGCTCCTGGTTGTCAATCGGCACTTCTCCAAGCTCAAGCCGGGCTCCAATGGTGATGAAGATCAAGCTATGGCACTTGGGAACTCTGGTTCGTCGCTTTCTCTCTCTAGGAATCGCTCTGTCTCTCTAAAACTAGGAACCCTTGATTTTTGGCCTTCTTTTCCTTTAAAAGGCTGACTGTCGCGATACCCGGTCGAAATACCCGGTCGGGTATTTTGGGTCGCGACCGGGTATAATTGAAACGCACTGTTTTTGCCTCAGGGGAAATCCCCGGTCTGGCCCAAGAATCCCCGACCGGGGGTTTTTGCCTCCTGCCCAGGCCCCCTTCTGTTTCTCACGGACGCCCAAAGCCAAAAATCCCCGGTCATGGCCAGATAATACCCGGTCGGGTGTTTCTGCTCATTGCCGGGTATTTTTGCTCTCTAGCACACTTCAAGCCTCACTTGCTCCTTTCGACCCAAATCTCGTTCCTTCGCCTCGATTCCAACGCCGGGTCCTGAAATATGACATAAACGTACAACCTCGCGTGAAATTGGCTTAAAACACGAGAATCAACATCTCAAACGGCTCAAGAATAGGGGTAAAAACATGTGCAATTATCAGTCTATCAAACTCCCCCACACTTAACCGTTTGCTTGTCCCCAAGTAAACCTAACTCAAACCAATGCAACTCTCCAGACCTCTATAGAAACCAACAACCCCGATCATAGGTAGAGGATTTCCTAGATCATTTAGCAGCTTACGAGGTCAACCGACGCACAAGTCATCTCATAGCTTCTTCGGCGAGAGCGCTAGTCTCGAGTCGGCATCATGGCAAATAGTGAACAAAGGACAAATGAATCGTGGATGGGTGGACTCTCAAAAACAAAAGATCATGGACTCACTTTTTTAAAGTGCTCTATTTTCTTTTTAAAGATGGTTGGAACCCCTTTTCTTTCTTTATTGCTTGTTTTTCTGTTTTTTTTTTCAAAGGTTCCAACCTGTTTTTTCAGAAAATGGGGGCTCCCACCTAGCATAGGTTTTGTGGAAGCTCGGCTCTTACCGGCCATGCCAGGATCGGGTGTCTCGAGTCTCGTGCGGGGGAAAGACATGTAAGGGGGCTGGAAGTAGTAGGTGGAAATTGGGAACGGATTCCCGTCTCCCCTTACACACTTTCGCCCTATTCGCACGGGAGACGTTATTTTAAAGCACATTTTAGAGCACCTTTTATGTTTAAACATGATACAGGAGTCCATGACAGGTAGAGAGTCCGCATCACCACACAATTCAAGGGTCCTAAGATCACTAATTCACACAATCAACCAACACAATATGAAGAAGAAAGGAGACTTCTTAAATGCATCAACATCCTCCATAGTGCTACACTACCTCCCTAGGTTGCACATTACTAAAGAGACTGTCAATTCAAAGCATACTGAGCAGGCAATTGCAAGGAACACGTACTTGGAGCCCTCAAATTTAAAAATTTGGACAGTGGACTAGGCTCCAAGCACACAAACAGATCTAATGCTGTCAAAAGATAAACATCCCCTCCACACTTAAGATCGACATTGCCCTCAATGGAGAAGAGGGAAGGAAAGGGGAACGATGTTACCGGTGTGCACGGACTGTAGGAGACTGGAAGCGGACCATTCGGAGTGAAGCGGACTGGAGAGAGGACCAGTCAGGAACAAAGCACAGCTAAAGGGAACAAAAGAACTCAAACACAATTCGTTAGGTCCAATTGTCAGCCCAATAATACATCATCACAAAACAAAAACAAAAACAAACCAAAACCAAACCAGTTCACAATCCGACCCAAAACAAAAGAAATCAACAAAAACCGTGGTGGGGTTGCCTCCCCACAAGCGCTTCTTTACCGTCTTTTAGCTGGAGGCCCATGGTGGATACTCCGCGAGGTGCAGGAACAGGTGCCTCCAAGAGCGGATCCACGTCGCTCTTGAGGTACAGCTTCAGGTTGTGGCCATGCACCTGACGGGTGCGACCACCAGCATTGGTCAGCTCGACCTGGCCATCCGGCAAGATGCAGGCGAGTGAGTACTCGGATGGCCAGGGTGGTCGTTGTGCAGGAGGTGGAACTAGATCATAGTGGTCTCCACCTTTCTTCCGTGCAGGCTTAGCAACCTGCTGCTTAGGCCGCCACTCCTCCTTGATCTTTTTGTTCGGAGGCGAGGCTGGATGGAGTGGCGGCGAAGGAGTGAGAGGAGGATCCTGCAAAATGAGAGATGCAGAAGGATACACGACAGGCTCGTGTACCTGGTCAGAAATGGCATGCACAGGTGTGACAGCAATCATAGCACAGTGATCGAATTCAGTCACAGAAAAAGTAGCCTGTTTATTCCTAGCACGCAGGATCAGTTTAGCATCATGCACATCAATAAGTGCCTTGGCGGTGGCAAGAAATGGTCTACCCAGAATCAAGGGCATATCTACATCCTCATGTATATCAAGAATAACAAAATCAACAGGATATGTGAATGCACCTACATTAACAAGCAGATCCTCTATGATCCCCCTAGGATGCACAATGGAACGATCAGCTAGCTGAATGCTCATCCTAGTAGGGCTAAGTTCACCTAGGTCTAGCTTTTTATACAACTTATATGGCATGACATTTATGCTAGCGCCTAGGTCCGCCAAGGACTTGCCTACATGCATGCTGCCAATAGTAAGAGGGATAGTAAAACTCCCTGGGTCCTTGTGCTTTTCGGGCAGCTTGTTCCGCAGGATAGCAGAACACTCCTCGCTCAGCAACACTGTCAATAGATCCCCAAGTTTCTTCTTGTTAGTGAGGAGATCTTTCATGAACTTTGCGTACTTGGGCATCTTTGACAGTGCCTCCACAAACGGTATGCTGATGTTGAGCTGCTTCAACATTGCCATAAACTTGGCAAACTCAGTCTCCAGCTTGTCTTTGTGTAGGCGAGTGGGGAAGGGAAGCTGGGGCACATGCTCCTTAACCACTGGTTGTGGCTTGGGAACAAGGGCTTTCTTCTCCACCCGCACTTCTGCATCGTCGGCTGGAAGTGCTGAAGCAGGTAGTGGTTCCTCCTGCCTGGCCGGGGCAGGATCAGCGGAGATGGTCTTGCTGCTCCTGGTAAAAATGGCATCCAGCTACTGGTGCGGCTCCCGTGGATTGGGGATGGTGGTGGTAGGTAGAGTCCCCGGTGCCCTGGTGTTGTTCTGGCGGGCTATTCCTCCAATTTGATGTTGGAGGTCCTGCAGTATAGCACCTTGGTTCCTCTGACCTGCCTCCAGCGAGGCGATGCTCTGGTCTATCCTGGCAAAATTTGCTTGGCTGGTAGTCATGAATGCCGCTAAAATGTTTTTCAGCTCCGTCATCTGGTTATCTGGAGCTGGAGCTACTGCTGGCTCGGCATACTGACACTGGGGCTGCTGGAATGGCTGCCCCTGTCTAGGCTGGTAGGGCTGTTGCGATGGAACTGGCCCCTGTCTGGCCTGGAAAGGCTGCCTCTGCTGAAAACCACCTGCTGGCTCTGGGAAACCAGGTGGTTTAGTGGTGTTACTACTCCAAGCGAAGTTGGGATGCTGGCGCCACCCCTCATTGTATGTGTTACTGTATGGATCGAGGCGCCGCGCATTGGCGATGAAGGCCAACTGCTCCTGGGGTGTAGAGGACTCCCGCATAGCCTGGCAGTCCTCCACCAGATGATTCGAGCTCTCACACCACTGACATTGAGCTACTGGAGGTGTAGCCAAACCTCGGCCCGGAATAAGACTGTTGGGCTGCTTCAATGCCTGCACTAACTCCGCCACCTGGTGCTCGAGCTCGGACCTGGCCTCCATGGCGTGCACACCACGGTCCCGAGAATTTCTGCCTCTGCTGCTCTGTCCCCAGGAGTGATCTCCGGCAGCCAAGGTACTGATCATTTGGTTCAACTCGGGTGGAGTCTTAGCGAGAATATCCCCTCCTCGGCATAGAGACTCAATCACCCTCTGGCTGTCCGGGGAGAGAGCACTGTAGAAGTTCCCCACTGTGAATGCATCAATGAAGCCATGATGGGGACACTGCCAGAAATATCCCATGTACCGCTCCCATGCATCCTGAAGTGACTCGTCTGGCTCTTGGCGGAAGTGAGTGATCTCCCGCTGGATCTCTGTGGTCTTCGATGCTGGGTAGTACCTGCGCACGAATTTGTCGGCCAGATCATCCCAAGAGGTGATGGACAATGGGGGCTGGGTCTCCAATCACCTCTTAGCATTCCCCGTCAGAGAATGGGGGAAGAGGTGAAGGCGGATTGCGTCATCAGGGACACCGTTCAGCTTGAACCCGTTCGTCAACTGCAGAAAACAGGAAAGATGCACCCTTGCCTCCTCATCCTTCAAGCCATGGAACTGGATAGATGATGTAATGAGTTGAATCCAGCATGGTTTGATCTCGAATTTGTTCGCTGGAATAGGCGGGTAGAGGATGACCGGGCGGATGTCAGCAATCTGTGGAGTGTAGTAGTACTCCAAAGTGGGACCCGGCGGCGGTGGGTGATGATGAACCCCATCTGCCTGGGGTATGGGGTTGTTCCCCAAGACCTGATTCACCGGGGGAGCCTGGTGAGGATTCCCCTAGTGTGGATTGTAATCTCCTTCCATCTCCTACTCCTCCTTGGACTCGCTGCTCAAATGGCCGTCTATGCGCTCCTCGGTAGCCAGTTTAGCTCGCTGTTGTCTCCTGAGTTGGCGACAGGTGCGTTCAATCTCTGGATTCAACGGCAGTAAACCTCCCGACTGGCTACGAGTCATGCACTACCTGCACACACTCAAGCAAGCAAACCCATGAAGGCACAAGTGGGACAAAGCAAACAATGCGAAAAGAAAAGCTAAATTAACAGAATTCACGTTTCTTCAACAACCTAGCGGTCCCCGGCAACGGCGCCAAAAACTTGACTCACTCCTACTGTCACTCTAGAAATTGGCCAAGTGTAACCACTTCCTAAAGCGTAGTATAGCGGGTTTGGGTTTTAATGTCAACCCGGGTCCTAGATGTGATGACTACTCGGTGAATTCTTATTATCTAGCGGTAAAACTTAAGTGCAGGTTCAAACAAGCAAAAACACAAAGCAAGTTAAATGGTTGTTTCAAGTCGAGAGAGGTCACCCGGATATGGTTCCCCCTAGACTGCAGTTAAGCCGGATTGCAATTTACCAAGTTCAGTTTCCATGAAAGTTATACTGCGGAAGGTTCTTAAACAGTCTGAAGTCTCGACTAAAGGTCTCCAGACCCTCTCAATCTGAGTCTCCAGCGGGCGACTAACCTCCACCGGAGTAAACAGATTGAGGCCCTAACGAACCAAACCTCCACTACCGAATTGAATTCGGTACAGAATAGCGAATTGGCTCCTCGACTAAAGTCACCAATTCGCCACCTTCAATTAAGGGTGCTCTATCAACCTAGGCAGATATTCTCATTCTAGGTTAAAGCAGAAACAACAGGAATTTGATCAGGATTCAAGTCATTCAATCATTCAAGCCTCAATCAAATATAATCAACTCATTGGGTTCATACAATCAGACCTAACATACAAATCTAGGGTTCTCCATACCCAGATGAATGGGAAAACTACTCCATGGAGAGAGAAGCAAAAGCAGATTCAGACGCGGAAATCATACTGTGAAGGATGAGTTTCTGCTCCTGGTTGTCAATCGTCACTTCTCCAAGCTCAAGCCGGGCTCCAATGGTGATGAAGATCAAGCTATGGCACTTGGGAACTCTGGTTCGTCGCTTTCTCTCTCTAGGAATCGCTCTGTCTCTCTAAAACTCGGAACCCTTGATTTTTGGCCTTCTTTTCCTTTCAAAGGCTGACTGTCGCGATACCCGGTCGGGTATTTTGGGTCGCGACCGGGTATAATTGAAACACACCGTTTTTGCCTCAGGGGAAATCCCCGGTCTGGCCCAAGAATCCCCGACCGGGGTTTTTTGCCTCCTGCACGGGCCCCCTTCTGTTTCTCACGGACACCCAAAGCCAAAAATCCCCGGTCATGGCCAGATAATACCCGGTCGGGTATTTCTGCTCATTGCCGGGTATTTTTGCTCTCCTGCACACTTCAAGCCTCACTTGCTCCTTTCGACCCGAATCTCGTTCCTTCGCCTCGATTTCAACGCCGGGTCCTGAAATATGACATAAACGTACAACCTCGCGTGAAATCGGCTTAAAACATGAGAATCAACATCTCAAACGGCTCAAGAATAGGGGTAAAAACATGTGCAATTATCAGTCTATCAATTCCCATTGTCGTTTTGATGATGTCTTCTCTGAGCATGACGTTCTCACATCTCTCCATGGAGTAATTTTCCATTTCATTTGGGTATGAAGAACCCTAGCTGTGTATGTTAGGAATGATTGTATGAAGCCCACTTGCGAATGACTGATTTGATGAATTCAATTGAGGAGTTATTTAGAATTGCATGAGTCCTTATCAAACCTATATAAATCCGTCTTTAACCTAGAACGATAGTCTCTGGATAGGTTAAAAGAGAAACCTTTAATTGAAAGTGGTGAATCGACTGCTTTAGTCGAGAAGTCAATTCACTGCTTTGTAGTGGAGTAAGCGCACGCAGTAGAGGAAGTGTCATGTGTTTAGCCTCGGTTAGTGTATGCCGGTGGAGGTTAGTCGCACATCGGGTATTCGAACCGAGAGGGTCTGGATAACTTTAGTCGAGAATCCAGACCAGTAAAGAACTTTCCACGGTTTATTTGTCAATATGAGTGAATCAAGAACTTATAACCTAAACTAGCTGCATACTAGGGGGGAACTATACCTGAATGAGCTTTAGCACCTGAAAAGAGCCAGCACATTACTTGCTTTTCATTTCTTTTGCTTTGAAATCACTTCACTCACTCAGTCCCGCTAGATAATAGAGGTTCACGGAGTAGGCAGTAGATCTAGAGCCCGAGTCGATAATTTAACCTGAACCACTATTCTCCATTTCCATTCTGTGATTATACTTGGTCGTAGTTTAGTGTTTTGTCATAGCGTGTCAATAATTCTGATGAGTTATAAAACTTGTGATTTCCACCCATGTAATAGGAACTCTATTTACTTGGGTGAACAACTAAAATTCACCCAACTCCTCGAATTGCATTCGCTAGGCATTATGAGGTATTGGTAGAAACTAATTGAAGTAGAAGTTTATCAACTACCAATATCAAAAGAGCTAAAGCACAAATGGATTCTTGAACTATGATTTGTTCCTATCCATCCAAAGAGAAATTGAAATCAATTTCGGTTCAATTTGGTCCAACTCACAATTCGTAGCTCTGTCCTTGCGATCGGAAGCACGAATTTTGCTTGAAGACATCATTGACGACGGTCAGCGTAAGATCAAAGATGTTGTAATATCATTTCCTTATTGGATCATGAGGTACAAAGGTGTGGTTGTGACTTCGTTCGAGTTTATTGACTGTGGATATTTGTACGTCTTATAGTACTCATAAATGTGAAACTTGACCATGAGAAGAGAGCGACTTCCTTCAGGAAGTGAAGCAACAATGGAAGGAACAATGACAGAGTGATTAGGTCTGCGAAGTTGACTGTCACAAAAACCGTTACTTTACCATCGAGGAGTCTTGTAGCTTCTTGAACATTCTGCACTGCTGCCATCAACACCAACAATTCAGTCGTTTGTGGTTCTTCACCTACGTAAATTGTGGACACCGCTGTAGAGGACAAGATTAGGCCTAGAATTTCCACAGCTAGTAAAGAATCGAATGCTTGCTTTGCTAACAAATCGTACAACAAAATGACCAAGACTGAAATTCTGTGTTTTTCAAACTCATTGAGGAGCTCTGGTTTGGTGTGTGCAATCGGAGCCTTATTGACTTAAGTAAGACTAAATTTTATATTAGCATTCAAATAAATTAAGTATGTATGTATAGGTGTTATTAAAGCATACAATCCGATCAATTATCTCATGACTCGATAAAGTGCGGATTTGTGTGTTCTATTTGAACAATATTGATCCCATGAAAACGAACACACGCATAATTGGTGCAATTCAGTTTTGGCTTTTGAATATAATTCGCATAATAATTCAGATGAGTTATAGAACTTTTAATTTCCTACCATGTAATAGTAACTTTATATATTTGGATGAATAACTATATTGTCACCCAATTCTCTAATTTGTATTCACTAGGCATCATAAGGTATTGGTGGAAACTAATTGACATGCAAGTTTATCTCCTACCAATATCAAGAGTTAAAACACAAATACATTTTTGAACTATGAGTTTTTCCTAGCCATCTAAAGAGAAATTAAAATCAATTTATATTCAATCTGGTCCAACTCACCATTGGCAGGTCTTTCCTGTGATCAGAAGAATATTGTCGCTCGAAGAAGCCAAAAATAACACCATTCTTCTTAAATGAAGGGATGTCGAGTTTTACCAAAGATCATGGTGTTTTCATCAATTATACAATTGTGGTTGGTAGTTTGCTCAACTAGTTTTGCTAGTTAGCTTATTGGGCTAATTTTGTACAGATTATGCGTAAGTAGAGTTTCCAGCTGAAGAGGAAGTCAATGAGAAGAGAGGAAAGGAGGATTTGAAGTTGGATGAAAAGGAAGAAGAGGAGGAGAAAAACAACGATACTTAGGTTGTTTCATGCTAGCCTCGACTACTACGTTGTCGTCAACAAGCTTGGTGATATCTTAAAGCACACGGAACTTAGAAAGTAATTACCATTAAACAGACTAGGGATATTGTTGCATATCAAAATAGTTTCCATTAAACGAACTAGGGAGAGTGTTGCATATCTAATGCCTATTAAGTCACCAGCAGTTCTGTCATTCCCATTAACTTCGACGAAGCCTGAAGCAGGAAAAGCCCCCAAATTGTGACTAGTGTTTGAAACCCCAGCTCTAATTCCCCAATTGTATCAAACACATTCCCTTCTTCAACAATCCCCTACCCTCCACCGCCTTTGCCCCTATTGTCATCCAAATCCATAGGATTGGTGTTGTTGTTGTTGTTGTTGCTGCTGCTGCTCTAGAGGAGATGTTTGAGACCAAATTGAGACCAAACAACGAGTCATCAAACTCGCTTGACAAAGTTTGAAAGCCTCCACTAGTCAATTGTTAAAGTCCATCAGCCTCAAGCGGTGGTGGCGGAGATGTTGACGTAGGGGAGAAAAGGAAGGTTGAAGATCAAAGGGCATTTTTAGCATTTACAACCGACGAGGAGATGAATTTGGAGCTGTTGTTAGAAGTAGAAATTTTTTTGGGAAATGGAATCTGATATGATCAAAATTGGCCAACTCTACACGTTTTTATTGATTGCCAAAGAAGCTATCAAGGTTGGGAAGAAGAAGGGCAGAATTTGGCTGTGTCAAAATCCGTGTTCAGGGTACCTACTTTGCAAGCATGCATCTCACAATTGGCTCAATGGAAATTCAAGTTTAATGGCTTGTATTGAACACGAAGTGATTATCTACACATTGGTATGCTTGGTTTCTCAAGAAGAAGTCATTAAGGTTGTTTTCCAAGGTCTCAAAGTTGCTACCTCAAAATAGGAAAACTGTCAGAATCTGTCCAAGTATAAATGTGTGGTCATGAAGCCTACTTTGGTGCTCAATTCGAGGAGCATGGATCAGATTCAAGTCAAGAGGGTTCTACCACATGAAAGTATGTACTTTTTTCTACAAGGAGAAGGCATTGGATAGAAGAATGGATACTTAGAAGGCTTTGAACATACTCTAAGATCGTACAAAGTCACAAAAATCTGCCTTTGAGAAACAGAATTATGCTTTCCTAATTCAACTAGGATTTCATTTCATTGTTAGATTTTGATTCCTTATCGAGTTGTATTGTGTTTAGACTTCCTTATTAGTTTGTTAGACGTATCTTGGTTTATTTAAACTCGTCTTTTGCATTGTAATCGTTAGAGTTGATTGAATTGAATTGAAACCGTTAGGCTTTTGCAAGTTTGCGAACTTGTGAGAGCTTTGGTGGATTCCAAACTCTTTGAGCTCTTGTATCGATCAAGAACGTGTTGATCATGGTCGAGCATCTATCATTAAACCAATCGAGCCTTTCCCCAGGTGTGGAATTGCACTTTTGGTTACGTTTTATCCAAGTTCGTATTAAGAACGCTTCATTCGGGCTCAATCGATCCTTCGATTGATTCGTTAGTTGCGTGACTTTGAAAATATACACCCCAGGGTCGTATTAGAATCAGAATTTTTTCATCACTCTTTTGAAGTGTTTATTTTGAAGTAATATTTTTAAATACAAAATTTCATGTGAGGCAACACATCACTAATCAATATTTTGATGTTGACCATTAATAATCAACGTAATGACGACAAACTTGATGTCAAAATCATCCTATTCTAATACTTTATGATAGAAATGACACTCTATCAAAAGTTTGAGTTTTGTACTGATAGCAGACAACTAAGAGTTTGGGTTTGTTATTGAACATAAGTCACACAACTATTGGACTGAAACTTTTGGGAGAGAGACTAAATGTGACATGTTTCAGTAATCCAACTGACTAAATGTGACATGTTTCAATAATTCGAGTGACCGGAGTTGGATAGAGGCTACAGAAGAGTGACCAAATGTGACCTGTTTCAGTAATTCGAGTGACCAAAATTAATATGAAAATTTTCTAGTGACTAAACATGACACGATTTAGTAATCTTAGTGACCAAATGTGGCATTTACGCTCCAAAAAAATGTCGTTTGCTACTCCAAACGAGCAATTTTTTTTTTATTTTGCCAAACTTTGGAAGGCCATAAATTTGTGCTCCTCAATCCGAACGTCATAAAGTTTTTTTTTATTTCGCATAACTTTTATATAACTACAACTTTTACTAGGAAATAATTTTTTTAAAAAATATATTTTTGGGTATACGGGATTTTGGGAATAACTTTGCCTTTACATTTCACAAATCCACATACATTCCAAAATTATGGTTATGTTAAAAGTTGTAGTCCTTAAAAATTTATGTGAAATCAAAAAAAGTTTCATGACATTCGGATTGCGGAGCACAAAGTTATGGTCTTTCAAAGTTTGTCGAAATTGAAAAATTGATCGTTCGGGGTAGCAAACAAAAACTATTTCAGTTTAAAAGATCTTGAAAAGTTATGTGGAATCAAAAACTATTTCGCTAGGATCGGATAACCAAGCGCAAAGTTACGTTCGTTTGAAGTTTCTGCCTTAGGTCAGACCTTCAACGCGGCCGACAAACGCGGTGAAGCCTTCACCGCGACCGTCAACCGCGGTGATGCTCAAACATGTGTAGATTGAGAATTTCTCATAAAACGTGTGTATTTAAAAAAAAACGTGTGTATTCTAGGAAAAAAAATCCCTCGATTCCTAAATTTACTTAATATGAGCAAGATGGCATGTCCATTTTTGCCCTTGAGATGGTAGAAGAAGTGGTCTGTATAGTGACCCGAATCTACTAATCTGAAGAGGTCTAACGAGTTTGTAACATTTTCAATAACCTGTTCATAACCAACATCCCAGGTCGATCTGCTCTGTCATACCCACAAGCTCAATGTTCATTAAACCTTGAAATGACTTCTTACTAGGACCCAAATCTCTCCATCTGAAAAGGTTTATCAAGTTTTTCATCAGTATCTAACATCGTACCGAAATTGTTTCAAATACCAAATTAGAATAGTAGTTTGTTGTTCTTACTCTGCTATACAACAGAATAAGCCAAGTGTTTTGTAGGAGTTGCTACTTGTGTAATGGTCGTCACTCAACATCGTACCAAAATTATTTCAACACCAAACTACAATCGTAATTTGTTGTTCTTGCTCTGCTAAACTGCAGGATAAGTTGAGAGTTTTGCAGGAGTTGCTACTTGTGAAAGAGTCGTCGGTCACCATCTAAAGTCTAATGTTGCAATATTCGCTACACAAGCACACTTCAAGTTCACCGCATAATAAAAATGTCAAACGAAAGGAGAGAAGAAAGCAATAATAAATGGTGCAAGGTGAAAACACACTCAAATCTTCTAATGATATTCTCTCCACTCACTCAGGCATAGTAATGCAAGCTTGCTTTCTTCTTGGCTTGCACTTGGATTATGCCTTCATTGAAATCCTCATGATTCTCCTCGCTTGCATCCCGTCGAAGTGCAAGCATCCCGACTTCGGCGCACACTGCTTTCAGCTGTGCCCCATTGAAGTCATCCGTCGAACGGCCTAGTTCCTCAAAGTTGACATCAGGATGAACATTCATTTTCCTCGAGTGGATCTACATATATCAGAGAAGCTGGAAATGTCAGAAACTTTCCATAGTTCCATCTCTCCCTGCAATTAAAGAAAGTATTAGGGTATAATAAACCTGCAAGATCCAGGCTATAGCTTCTTTAGTCGGATGGGGGAACTCAATCTTACGATCCAAACGACCAGAATGCATAAGAGCACGGTCCAACATATCAGCTCGATTTGTTGCAGCAATCAGCTGAATAAAAAAGGCATTTTGTTAATTACAACAAACAAGCCATAGTTATTAGCATAAATTTCTAGGGAAAGAACAAACCTTAATTCGATCATCGCTGCTAAATCCATCGAGCTGGTTAAGCAATTCCACATGGTCATTTGTACCTCCCTATCGCCACTTACTTCACTGCAGACCAAACACAACTAGAAATCAGTTGAGATATTTCAACATGTCTCAATAACACAAGGAGATAGAAATGCCATGATATCTTGTGAGAAAAACAACATACCTGTCGAAATGCTTCGTCCCAATTGCATCAATTTCATCAATGAAAATAATGCATTGTGACTTCTCTTTTGCAAGTTGAAATGCATCTCGGACAAGTTCTGCTCCATCACTGATGAACATCTACACAACATAACTCACAATTAGTCTCTGTTTATATCAAGAAATTGTCATTCTCCAAAAGGGAATACAGAAATACTTAAAGGGGCAAAGAAAGGGGCGAGAAAGCCATACTTGGATAAGTTGTGGGCCAGCCAGCTTTAAAAAAAGTGGCATTCATTTGTGCAGCACATGCATGAGCCATCAACGCTTTACCAGTACCAGGAGTATGATACAAGAGAATTCCCTTCGAGGGACGGATGCCCAACTTCTGAAACCTCTCTTTATGAGTCATGGGAAATGCAATGGCCTCTACTAGTTCTTGAATCTGCAATTTCAGGGATTCCATATAGAATATGAAACGCTCAACGATTAGCCATATATCCAATAGTGCTCTTTCACACTAAGAAGAAAAAAGAAGAAGATACATACCTGCTTCTCCAACCTCCAATGTCATGTAGTCCTCGGTAGGCTTCTCGTCAACCTCCATCGCTTTTACTCGCGAATCATACTCCAATGGTAAAGTGTCGAGGATCAAGTAACTATCTTTGTTGACTCCAACCAAGTCACCAGGCTTCAACTTGTCAGGGTCAACCAAACCAACCACGGGAAGGAAAATAGTCTGCAAGGAACAAAGAAGTTCAACCATTTTAGAAGACAGAATAGGAAAACGAGTTCAGAAATTCTATCAAGTAGAGTGAGAGAGACTCCACACCTGACGAGTAAATGTCCTTAGGACTACACATTTCCCTTTTCTTTGCGAGTTGAGGTCAATGTTAGCACCATCTTCTTCTGCATCATCTTCTAGGTTCATCTCAAGAATCTATAACAAAGCCCCAACACGAAAACCCAAACTGATTATGTAAAACTACTCGCGAATCAATCAAGCAAGCACAACAACGAAAGGTCCCTAATTGGCTAAAAAGTATATACCTCCGCAATGTTTCCAACCAAGTAAGGAAGCTGTTTGTTGAACTTAATCTTCTCTTGATTCTCCTTTATTTTCTCCTTGTAAGACTTCGATTTGAGATTCATCCTCTTCAACTTTTCCTACCAGACCCCAAAACAAAAACCCTAATTCAGCCCTCGAAAAGATGAAACCTAAGCGGGGAGCTCAAAGCAATGGCATAAAAATCGAGAGAGACCCAAAAAAGGTGAGGGGATGGGGATGAAAGATCGGACTTCCACTTCATAATCCAAATTTCGTTGTCAAGAAGCCTGAAAGCTCTAGAGATGGCGTCAGTGGGCATGGACGATAACTGATAGTCCTCGAAAGTTGTATCTTCCACCATGATAGTCGCCATTACTTAACTGTGAGCGAGAGAGAATCTTCGACGGAAGCGGCTTAGATTTTCGACGGGATGAAAGATTGATAGTTTGCTTATTTCGAGGTCGTCAGAGGTTTATCGCTATTTAAAATGGGATGGGAGTTGCTAAAGGTCGCCCTTCAAATTGCTAAATGTCGTCCTAAAAAATATCAAAGTTACAAATTTAACCTTTTAGCTACTTTACTCTTTTTTTAGCAAACAAACACCTCTTAGTAAAGAAAATAAAACAATATTAAGAAGAGAGAATCCATTATCGTCATTCCTGAGTTGGAATCGTCGATATGATGTCTGGATCATGACTAGCGACTCTGAATCGGTAAAGTTCACTCAAAAAATTGAAAAAAAAATACAAAAAAGGGAACCGTAGCTCACTTGCGGTTGCACCATGGGCCAATCGCAGCTCACTTGCGGTTGCACCATGGGCCAACCGCAGCTCACTGCGGGCGACGACGACGGCGGGAAAGACGCCGACGAACTGGTGCGTCGAGAGGGATTCGCGAAGAAGGCAAATTAGGGGTTTAGTTTGAGGGGTTAGGGATTGTTTGGTTTGTTTAAATTTTGAAATTTTATTGTGGATAAATAAGGGGTTAATTGCATGATTGGTCACTGAAATTACAAAAAACGTTTATGTTTGGTCACTGAAAATATTTAAATCCAATCTTGATCACTCAAATTAGTTAAATGGTTCAAGTTTGGTCACTCTCCGTTAACTCTAGCTTACGTGGCAGTCAACTTTCATAGTTGACCATTAAATATGTGATGTGGCAATTAAAAAATTATTAAAAATAAAAAAAAAATTTATATTTTCCACCTCATTATTACATTCATTAAAAAATAAAAAACCTAATTTCTTTTCTACACACCCCAAAACCCTAACCGACCCAACCTCACCATCACCAGATATACGAAACGAAAATCACTCACGATTATAGATACCCGAAAACCAGAACCAGCAGCGAAACCGAGCAAGTTCAAAAAAACTGCAGAGAGTTCACAAAGCAGGCATCTTTTACACCAGAATCATCATACAGATGCAGATGCATCAGTCTGAAACCTCTCATCAAACAAATCTCAATGCCCATACCCCTTTGAATGCCCGATCAACGACATGCAAATGCAGAATTCGACTTCTCAACCTGCTCAAAGTCAAGCTCGCATCGTCCCCCTGACATTAACACACCCTGACAAATCCAGGAACTCCAAATTCAAGCACCCTTTGCTGATCGATTCGATCCCTTTGGCCGTTAACCTCGAGAATCGAAGCTCTAAGTGCTTCAACCCTGTCATGAACTTCCCAATTGTTACAGTTTCCGAATCTGCTTCAAGAGGGCGAGCCATGTTTGCCATGAGGTACTCGTTTGGCACATTCCCTGGACGCTGGGAAGAAGATTGAAGCTTAGGGGACCTGGGGAAAAAATCAATTCAATTCAATCCCAATCGTTTCTCTAAATCATCATCTAAGAAATTCGATTGAAAATTAATTTTTGTAGGGTTTAAAGAAACCGTCTTTTGTTACCTCTCGGCGGCGAGATTGATGCATCGGTCGGAGTAGTGACGGGAGCGGATCTCGGAGAGGGTTCCGTCGCTCCAGGCGATGGCAGAGCGTAGCATGGAATCGATCCGCCTCTCAAACTTCGGAGATCACCTGAGAGGGAATGCCGGCCCGGAATCGAAGCAGGTGTCGAGGTCGAAGGCGGAGTGGGGCGACGAGTCGGTGAAGACGGCGCACCAGGGCTTGCAGAAATTAGGTTTTGGGGTGTGTAGAAAAGAAATTAGGTTTTTTATTTTTTTAATGAATGTAATAATGAGGTGGAAAATATAAATTTTTATTTTTTTATTTTTAATAAGTTTTTAATTGGGTTAATTGCATGGTTAGTCACTGACATTACAAAAAATGTTCATGTTTGGTCACTGAAAATATTTAAATCCAATCTTGGTCACTCAAATTAGTTAAATGGTTCAAGTTTGGTCACTCTCCGTCCATTTCCGTTAACTCTAGCTTATGTGGCAGTCAACTTTTATAGTTGACCGTTAAATACGTGACGTGGCAATTAAAAAATTATTAAAAATAAAAAAATAAAATTTTAAATTTTCCACCTCATTATTACATTCATTAAAAAATAAAAAAATAAAAAACCTAAAAACAACTGAAACCAAACCAAAAACAACCGACAAGCTGCCGGCGACCATGTAATCGGAGACGAGAAGCTTCTCGTCTTTAGAGAAGTAGAAGGCTCTGAACGGAACCAAATTGCCGTGCCGGACTTTTCCCAAAACTTCCATCTGCATCTCGAATTCCTTCTTCGTAACCACCACGTCTTTCAGCCGTTTGACGACGACGGTGGTGCCGTCTTCGAGGACGGCCTTGTACGAAGTGTCGACGCTGCCTTTCACGAGGACCTCCTCCGAGGCTCTCAGCAGATCCTCCAGGTCGAAGCTGTACACTCCTCCTTCGAAGAACACAAGCTTGTTCGGCTCGGCCGAGCCGCTGGTGATGTCCTCTTTGGAAGAGGAGGTCCCGCCGGATTCGAGGGGGATGGATCGGGCGGCAGCTCCCACTGGCTTCGGAGGTTTGGGGGACTGCTGTCTCTGTTTCTTCCGGAGGAAGCAGAAGAGCAAGAGAAGGAGGAGGAGCAGGGCTAGGGCTGCGCCGACGGAGATTAGAACGATGGCGGCGGTGGAGAGTTTTTTCGATTTTTTTTGGGAAGGGAGGACGGGTTCAATTGTGGAAGGGGATGGGCTGGGGGAAGGGAAGAACGGGTTGCAGGTGATAGAACAGACTTGTCTCCACTGCTTTCGAATACCCACTTCAACACTTTTCTCATTCTGTTACATATTTCCAGGCACTCTATTTTTACTTTTCCGTAGGTTTTACTTCCATTTGTAACAGCTTTAGCTTAAATATATGTACATTCATCCAATAATGAGAACTCAGGATTTCTGAGCAATTTCAGCAGGGAGGTAATGGACCGTCGCAGAGATCTAGAGATTGAGCCTCAATGATGCAGCAGCTCTGCTCCAACTTAAAGCCCACTCCGTCAACACTTCTTCTAATCATCGTCTCTTCCGTAACTGGACTGCTGCCACTGCATCCGGCATCTGTAGCGACAGGGTCGGCGTCTCTTGCGGTCGTCGCCATAGAAGAGTAACCTCCTTGAATTTGGCAAACATGGGGATACAGGGGACTCAGCCTCCCCACCTTCAAAACCTCTCCTTCTTGATTTCTCTCGATCTCAGCGGCAATCTCTTCCATGGGGATTTGCCGATGGAGCTGTCTAAGTTGCCGAGGTTGAAGATCATCAACCTTTCTTATAACCAGTTCTAGGGATTGAGCCGTCGAGACTGTTGTTGGAAACATTGAAATCAGCCAAATTAGCTGAGATGAAATCGACCAAGTTTTTTGTTTTGTTTTTTAAATGAATGTAAAAGTGAGGTGGAAAATATAAAAGTTTTTTTTTATTTTTAATAATTTTTAAATTGCCACGTCACGTATTTAACGGTTAACTATGAAAGTTGACTGCCACATAAGCTGGAGTTAACGGAAATAGACGGAGAGTGACCAAACTTGAATAATTTAACTAATTTGAGTGATCAATACTGGATTTAAAAATTTTCAGTGACCAAACATGAACGTTTTTTGTAATCTCAGTGACCAACCATGCAATTAACCCGTTTTTAATTATTACGTCACATATTTAACGGTCAACCATAAAAGTTGACTGGCACGTAAGCTAGAGTTAACGGAGAGTGACCAAACTTGAACCATTTAACTAATTTGAGTGACCAAGATTAGATTTAAATATTTCCAGTGACCAAATATGAATGTTTTTTGTAATTTTAGTGACCAATCATGCAATTAACCCGATAAATAAGTCATTTATCATTATAGTTAGGGCGACTGTTAGCAATTTTAAGGGCGACATTTAGCGATTCAGTTTAAAATCGCACCGGTTTCCCTTTCCTTTGTCGATGCAGATTTGAATCGACTCCGTTTCTTTGGATTATAGTAGGACTAGTTACATTTACGGATGACAACAAAACTCGAACCCACGGGTATCCACCCGACCCAACCCGGTCAATTCAGGGAAAACTCGTGTTGACGGGTTTTGGGTCAGGTTCGGGTTAAAACCCGCTACACTATTCACCGGGTTGAGTTGGGTTTGGGTAAGGTAAACCAGCCACATGGGTACCCGCCCACACATATAATTACTTTCCCGGTATATTTAATATTCTAAATAATATATCTTCTTTAAACAACTAATATTATTTATGTTTGTGGAGACATGTATAATTTTTTCTTTCTAATTGTTTAGAATGAAGTTGATATTATTGAGTGGAGAGTGAAGAAACTTATTTGACGAGGAAGAAGATTTCAATTAATCTTGTTGTTTATAGATGTTTATCTTTAATTTTGAACAATTTGTATTGATCATTTGCGGTTTGCTTGTATGTTCTAGATTGGTGTTTTTTGTATGAATAATTTGTATGAGAAAATTGATGTTAAATTTTTATTTTGAAAGAAATTTGTTATTGTAAATTTTTTTTACCACAAAAACCCACGGGTGCCCATGAACCCGCGGATACCCAGCGGGTTGGGTTGTGTTTGAGTTTTTCAAACCCAGTGGATTAACCCCGAATTTTTTTGATGGATAAACCCATAGGTTTGGGTTTCACAAAACCCGCCCCAACCCGCCCCATTGCCATCCCTATCCCTAGTTACATTGTTGTTAGCCCAATTAACCAGACCCATATAAAGAGCGAAATGATAGGCACATTATGAAAATTTCTGTCGTAAACATTGTAGCCATTTCTTTTATCTATTTTGTAATATTATTTGCAAATTTTGATGGTAATTTCTAATTTGTATGCATAGCATTACTTGTAATTAATATGGGTCATTATTCATAACAAAAAAAAATATGAGTCATGGAGGACTACATGGTCATCCAAAAGAACATCCACAAGTTGTACCGGAAGCTTGTCATCTAGATATCTAGGAGCGAAAGATCAATAATGGACAATTCTCGTGAGGTTTTTGTGTTGCTCATCTCCATCAGTCTCATCACCATGTAGCAGATAATTGTCATCTCATTTTAATGAACTTTTATTTTTCTCCATCTTCAAAATTAGAGTTTCACAATCAATCTCGATGATCAGGGTAATAAAATAAAGTACGGGAAAGTTACGTATAAAATACGTATGAGTATTTTATTTCATCTCTAAACTAATGTTATGTTTAATAGTACGTTAATGATCATAAATATATAAAAATTAATTATTTTGAAAATAAATAAATAAATATACAAATAATAGTATAGTTAACAATTTAATTCATTAAATACGAATATTAAACGCATTATACGGGTTTTATATGTGTTTAGTACGGAAACCAACAAATGAACGTGAAAAAATGAAACGGCTTGATAATAATACGAATACGGAAATTTTAAACGAATAAATTATGTATGGGTACATATATGTGTATTAAACGATAAATATCGTTAATTTCTTCATGCTCGTTCCAAGTTCGAAGTAGCATTTGTACAAATAAGAATCCCCTTCCTTACATGATCTAGAGCTTCTAGCATATTGCACTGACCTTTGCTTCTTTTGGTCAGTAGATTCCTTGTTCCTTGCTAGCAAAATCGAGACAAAACTAGACATTCCAATAATGTATAGCTCCTTCAAGACAGCTTCATTTACAATCAAGAATCCCAACTTCGGTGTTTAGCTTGTATAAGCCAAGGAGTGGTTCCAACAACTCGAATTTGCAGGACTAGCTTCAGATTATTCGAATTTCGATGCCGTACCTCCAGGTGATATTGTATCCATTGTGATCCTCTATATGATTTCATCCTCAACAAGCTTCTTTATTGTGCATACATTATTACATGAACTATAATTTTTTTTCAAAATTAATATACAAATATATTTAGGGTTGATTTGTAAATATTGAACTCCCAAATTGTCATGTTTGTAAATAATTCTTCTATTAGGGTTGTCAAGCTCAAAAGTAACCACCTGTTTTACTTATTTAGTCAACTCCATTTGACTTGCGAGTCAAACGTTAGAGAAGATTTCAGCCAGAAAGGTTATAATTAAAGATGATAAATTTACAGAGTGTACTGTGAGACTGATTGGCACAACTCGAACTTCCATTCCTCATTCCCAGCAACAACATTGAGCAGTGCAATGCTCTAATGGAAACAAATGGTTTTAGATTATACCATTAAAGCTTCCAATAAATCCCATGGTAATCCAAAATGCCAGCCACAACCGCCCAGAACAGAATCTCCGCGAACAGAACATACAGCAAAATGCCTACTCGCTCTGACTGCCACACTCCAACGAAAACGTGCTTCTTGATCCAGTACACCTGCTCCCCCAAAGCCATGAAATATGAACAACAGAGGGAAGGAAAGTAATTTGAAGTTTTCCATACAAAAAGAGCTTTAATAAACCTCACCATTGTATTCCGAGGATCTTCGTAATACCATCCATTGATAAACCCAGCAAATATGCCAGCAGCTGCCATTACATAAACAAACATCGCGTTCCTGCCAATCCATTCCAACGGTAGAAACAATAGCTTCACGTTCACTACATCAACCTGTGGGAAAGACGGGGAGAAGGCAAACTTTTGTTTTCAAGAGCCATTTTTCACTGGTAGTGAGAGGCTCGATAAAGTTGGTTTCTTTCTCAGTGGGTTTACCAGAACATAGAAGGCACAGAAGACCAATGTCGCGGCTCCAGACGTGACACAGACATAGCTGAGAGTGTATAGCTGTTTGTTCAATGGAATTGCTGCACAAGAAGAAGAAACTAAGATGATGATGGAACTCCAAAATGGTGCTTGGAAACAGTCTCCATTAAGGGTTTGAGATTCAAAAGCTCACCATGGGTAAAATGAAGGGTTAGTCCTAAAACAAGAAGAGCAACTCCCAAACTACTCCACTGCTTCAATCTGCTTGAATGGTTCTGAGAGTTCAAGAGAAGTAAGAAAATCTAACCTTTTTGCAGCGTAGAGATATACACAGGAATGTAGGTTCAGAAACTAACCTTCCACAGTATGAGAACATGGCCGAAATGAACTCCAATCAAAGTAGAGAGAACAGCTGATATGGAACTGTTAAGTAACAAAGAACAAGATTTGAGGTTTGGGAGAGATTTCAGGAATGAGCATGAACTATTACCAATGTACCTCAGAATCCCTTCAGGTTCAAAGGGACCATGGCACCATGATGGGGAATCTTCACGTAGAGGCCCTTGGTATGGGGAAATGGAAGTGCAGGGCTGAAACAAGTTTGAAGGAAGTTTAAGGTTTCAACTAATCAGTTAGCGACTGAGAAGTAAAAGTGAATCCTAGTTGGATAAGGATTACCGTAGATCTCCTCCAAGCTGGACGTTCATACATGTGATCAGTTCCAAGGATCGTCCTATCAACATAGCCAACAGCATTACAAGGAGGATCCAATTTTCCGCGTACTCCACAAGCAACCTTTAAATAACACACGGTTGTCAATGCTTCAAAAGCTGGAAAAAAGCGATATAATTATGGTAGCACAATAAAGTTCTGAGATGGAACTTACAGTGAAAACCTTGCCATAATCAGGGCTATCTTTGTTATGAATGGTGAACTGCCAATCAGGGACATAAGTGCCATAAAGTACAGCTAAGTAGATAATTAGAATCCATGCTGCCACCACCCTACAAAATTTTGAGCCAGAGGGGATTATATGATTGAAGACTGTTCTGTGAAGAGTAAAAAATGGCAATCCGAATCAAAAAAGGATTTATAGAAACCTCACCAGTGCCAACAATATAATCTAAATATGGAAAATGTTCCCGGTGGAGATTCATCCTTCATATCATTTGCTCTCGAGTCTTTGGTAAAGATTTCAACTAGTGCCACAATCAAATAAGCAAAGGCAATTCTCTATACACAGGGGAGAGGGGGGGAAAGCATAATTACTCTCTGAACAATATAGAACCTACATTGTGCAAACCAAGCAAGAAATTCACCTGCAGAATGCCACATAATCTTATTCGTTTCATGTCGACCCCATAGGTCAGCTTGTCTGGAGCATGAGAGTACCCTCCTATAACATTGGAAAAAAAAACAACAAAATCAAGTTGTCTGAGGAAATGGAGCACAAACCATGACAAGTTCGAGAAGTAACCCAAACCTTGTAGCAAAAGACCCCAAAAGAGGAGCTTTAAAGTTCTTAGAATCACCTTCTTGACAGCTTTTGTCTTGTTTGGTACCCTCTACATACAAAAGGCAAAGTTCCTTTCATTAAACAAAGCTAGGAAATTGGTGAGTGAATTGAAGATTGGAAAGCCAAAACATTCATATCAAACTGACCTTGAGAGCAAGAGGAATGGCCATTCCCACAATGAAGAGAAAGAATGGCATCACAAAGTCGGCCAAGTTGCAACCATTCCATGGTGCATGCCCTATCATAGGCCATTCTCCTCCAGCATCATCAACCAAAACCATCAACTAGAGACAGAAGTTTAAATCATTCAGCATCATCAACTAGAGACAGTTTTAAATCATTTTAGACCGCAAATAGTGGCCCATAAACAAAATAACTAATGAAAACATAAAAATAAAGGGCAGAACTAAGTTCAAACCAGTGACCTCCTGATCTACAGTTAAATGATCTACAACTGAGCTATAAACCCTTTGATGATCAATTCATTCTACTAAGAAATAAATCCTGAACAATAAATAATATGAGTTGAGCGAAAAGGCGTTTAATCTTCCAAGTTCCAACTCAATCGACAAGCAAAATAGATTCCGTTATGAAAATAGAATAAGCTTACCGCCACGGTGAGCCCTCGAAAGATATCAAGCGAAGCCACTCGCTTTGCTCCTTCAGCGGACAGTTCTACGGCGGCGGGTTGGCTTTCATCGGGGACGATCAGGCGGTGCTGGTTGGGGTTAATCTCCGCCATCTTTTCCTTTCAAGTGAGTTGCAGCTGCTGCGCCAAAAAGATGGAGCGGGTAAAAATTTGCTTATTCTGTCGCGCTCTGTTTAAGGAATTCAATCAGTAGCACGCACCCAGAGGACTGAAGCGGTTGGGTTGGTAGGCGAGGTGATTCAGATAAAGAGGAGTGACGACAAGTTTCCCAGCAATAATTTGACGACGGCGGACGGACGGAGAAAGGGTAAATTGCAAGAGTGGTCACTGCAAGTGCTAGAATATTCATGTATGGTCATTAAAAAAGTTTTATTCCATTTGTGGTCACTGAAAGTGCTTAACATTTCACGATTGGTCACTCTCCGTTAATTCCGTCAGCTTCCGTTAACACCGTCAGTATTTTTGCTGACGTGACTAACACAAAGTCTAGTCACCAAATTTTGACTAAAAAAATTAAAAATTGACCCGCCACGTCACTAAAATATAACACGTCATATAATCCAACCCTTACGATTCTTATCGTCATGCAGATCGATTTGGATAGCTCTTCCACAGCTTCAGGGGGAAGTTAGCGACTCTTCCACCAGCGGAAAATAACCTTTCTCAACCTTCACAGTCCACCACCACCACCCCCAATAAGAAGCTGAACCTCCCTGAGATGCGAAGTTCTTTAATTAGACCAAATCGATTTGAAGAATTTAGGGGGAAGACTGAGAATCTCTTGTGAGAAATCGGATTTTGGGTTTTTGTTCTCTTTCTTTCGTTGCAGATCCAGAAGCTGAAGTGATTGTTCTATCGCCGAAGACTCTAATGGCGACAACTAGAACTTGAAGCATTATGGGCAAGGCCATAATCTGTCGTGGAAGCTCAGGCAGCCATTGGGGAAAGAAGCGGAGAAGAGAGAAAAGATGGAAGCTTCGACAGTGTGACTGGATCTACTGAAACGATTAGTGAACATATTATAGTCGAGACGATTCAAATCCTCTTCACCCCTTGCTTTTTTTGGATTCCCCTGTTTTCCTTTCAAGAGGAGACCTTGTTGGACTTTGCCACTCCGAACCGCTCTAGATGGAATAGGCCGACTTCTCTACAACTCACAAATCTTTCTCCCAAGACCCTTCCCGCATTATGCTACGAACAAACCCGCACCGGTCGCCGCCAAAAGAGAGAGAGAGCGATGGTGGGGATGATTTTGCGTCGGAAAAGGGTGGTCGACTCTGACAGAGACGTAGCCATCAGTGAAAGAAGAGGAAGCGTCGGGTTGGGTTATATGACATTGCATATTTTAGTGACATGGCGGGTTACTTTTTAATTTTGTTGAGCCAAAATTTGGTGACTAGACTTTCTGGTAGCCACGTCAGTAAAAAAACTAACGGTGTTAATAGAGGATGATGGAGAGTGACCAATCATGAAATGTTAAGCACTTTCAGTGACCACGAATGGAATAAAATTCTTTTAGTGACCAAACGTGAATATTTTAGTACTTTCAGTGACCAACCTTGCAATTTACCCGACGGAGAAATTATTTGAAATTAATTATTAATATATATAAAGAAGAAGTGAGGGTCTGTTGCCTAATAAATTACAACTTAGTACCTTACTTCTTTTTTTATATATATTAAACCTCATTTTTTTACATTTTATATTTTGATACCCCAAATTTAATTAAATTACAACTTAATCATTATAATGTACATTTTATATTTTGATACCGAAATTAATTAATATATATAAAGAAGAAGTGAGGGTGTTGTTGCCTAATAAATTACAACTTAGTACCTCACTTCTTCTTTATATATATTAAACCTCACTTTTTCTTACATTTTATATTTTGATACCCCAAATTTAATTAAATTACAAAGAAGTGAGGGTACTGTTGCCTAATAAATTACAACTTAGTACCTCACTTCTTCTTTATATATATTAAACCTCACTCTTTCTTATATTTTATATTTTGATACCCCAAATTTAATTAAATTACAACTTAGTCACTATAATGTACATTTTAAATTTTGATACCGAAATTTAATTCTAATGTAAAATCATTGAAAAATTATGTTTTGGTGTCTAAACTTTATGAAATTTTCGTACCTACAATTTTTTAAATTTACATATTGGTCCAATATTTAGATTTCACTTGAATTCATGAATCCAATCCACCAATCATTGTGAACCAATCCATGAATTCAATTCACAATAACATAAAAGTATAAATTTAGTTTGTACCATACAATATATTGAATCACTCAAGAATAGGAGAAGATTCGACCATTTTATATTTGCTCATTATGTGAAACATAAGATAAATGATAAAAGAGAGACGACTCTAAAATACTGCAAAAGCGAATTTACAAACTCATTTAGTACATTTACGGGGTACTAAACAGTTTCTATTTTTTATAAAAAATTATCATCTTAAATACATCACTATAAAAGGAATTAAGCCTAAACTATGCAAATTACATCTCAATACCTAAACATAATAGATCTTTAGATTTTTGTGTATTACATTTTGTGGTACCTAAACTTTTGAAGTTCTATAAATAGGTCTAATGTTTGTATGTGTACTTAAAACACCCTCGAATAAATGGGTATTGATACCCAACTCATACACATTTAGATTACCTACGCAAACACATCTACTAACTTTCAAACTCATATATACGCCTACCCATAATCAATGGGTCTATTTGGGTTTAGGTAAATATAATTTATTAGCCAAATTTTTTTTTTTAAAAAAAGGATGTTGACAGTCATATTTCTCAGTCAATATTACTAACAAAATTGTTAAAAAAAATTATTTTTGGACTAATAATACTAGCAAAACACTATAACGGACCACATAATACATGTCCATATGTCATCTCCGCCCCGCGACAAGGCGCGACATCTCCACCTAGTATCCTATAAAATAAAATATTATTCCCTGTATTTTCCGAAAGGATGAAATGGCAAATGGGAAATTATTCGATGAGTAGTGGTAGTGGTAGGAGGAGAAGTAGTGGTAAATTGTTGTAAAAAGAAAGCGCTCAATTGCCCCTTTCACTGTACTGTACACACCTGCAAACTCAGTTTTACTATTCCATCTTGGAGCGGAATGGGGTGTGGGCGGCTGTTCTTTGGGATCAGATGGAGTTTGGTGGCATTATGGTTTCTTTCGCTTGGTTGCTTCTCATTTGCGTTGGCCTGGCCCTCACTCCAAGTATGTGCGAAGATGGAGGGGTTTGCAATGCAGAGGACGAACTGTGTTTGGTGGTTCTATCCGATGTTTTGGCTTTTCCAGATATCGAGCGAATGGCAGAGAGGGGTACAAAACGCTATTCTCTTCGGAGATGAGATGGCTTGGCGAGATTGGAAGAGAGTTAGTAGAGCGAAGCTGAAGGTGGCTCTGGAGAAGAGTGAGAACAGAACAGATACTCATAAGTTCCAAGGGGGTTTCTCGGGTATGGCGATCGAAGTTGAGTGGGTTGCCTGTGTTACTTTCCCGTGCTTTGAGGCACCAGGGGAATCATGATTGACTGAGTTTTTCTTGCAGATTGAAGTGATGAGTTTGTTTTTACAGGAATTTAATCTTTCATTTTTCCCTACCACACTAACTACCTACCAGGCGAGGTGTCAATCATCACTTTTCTACTCAATTAGTTGAGGGGAGAGAGGGTGCGATGCAAAGCAAAAGTTTCCTTATTATTTCCCTGCGCGCTCTTTCCCTTCTCTCCATCCCATCTTTTCTTTGTTCTTTGGTTTGATCATTTCTCTCTCTCTCAGTTCTGGTGTTGCTGGCGATTGGAATCAATTAGTTGGATTTTCTGGTTCAAGATAGGGTGCATAACCATGGGTTATGCACCCATCAATAACTAAATCTGGACCTTTCATTTAGAAAATCCAAATCTAAAGATGGAGAATTAAAGACCATTTTTATTTTCCCTAGCTTTCTTAATCGACTCATATCTTCTTCGTTTTAACTCGATTTTTTTTTTTGCACATATGGAACGAGTTCGTTGTGCTCTACAGAATGAGGCTCATTTTCAATATTTTTTGAGAAAAAAATATTCTTGCCTCTCGATACCAACTGCATACCATATGGTATCTTCTTAATTTTTAATTCGTTTTTGAAAACGTTTGCACAGAAGGAACAAGTTCATCATGATCTATTGGATCTACAAATTTCTGGGTGAACAAATTACAGGATCAAAAAATATCACACAATACCATACAATACCACCCTGGTACGGGGTGGTATCTTGTGGTACACAATGTTAAAAGTCGTAAATGACAGTTAATATACTTCTACTCTCATGTATTCAACCATCCTACAGTCTTGATTTGTTCATACCATCATGATACACTTTTCAAACGATAAGTATGCTCTTATTTCAATACCAGTCAATACCATATGGTATAGACTGGTAAAAAATTGCTCAATTTTTTTTGTTTGAAAAATATATCAAAGTGGATATTATTTTGAAGAGCACAATTAATCTGATCTAACTCTGCAAAAAAAAAAATTTCAACTTAAAACGAGTGAGAAATCGTCCGTCAAATATTAAAGAGGGAGAAAATAAAGGTTTTAGAGGAGAGAGAATAATGCTGATCTGAATGGATTACTCATGATTACTCACCATAAGGTTACTGACCTGATCCGTTCCTAGATTTTCTGGTGCCTAAGGTATGAATGCAGCATTGGTGTGTGCAATCTTATACGCGGGACATGGATTATTTGGTAAGTTTCAGAGATTTTAGATGGTGGTTGGTTCTCAATCTTTCCAAGTTTATTTCAATCTTGGCTTTAAACCAGGAGAATAGCCGTGTTCGCCTATGGAGCAGTTAACCGACTCGGATGTGCCAACAATAGCTTCTGGCCGATTTGAGAGTCTATGGAGGCTATCGAAGAAGAACCCGCTGTCACTCTGCTTATTCTGCTGACCAGCAGGCTAGCACACTGACTTTACTGATCTGAAGGCTGAAGCACCCAGCAACTTCATGTACAGCAGGTCATGTTCTCTCTCGGTCTTCCCCTATACAATATTTTTACTTTCTTTTGCGTTTTAGGTTTGTTTTGATCGTGGGTGTTGTTACGAACCCTGACTTTTTCCACTTTTGATTTTTCAGTTGAGATTCTTACATCAAGGGACAAACAGATATGGGTTCAGAAAAAATCGAAATCCAGGAGGTTTGCCTTTTGAATGAGGTAATTGTACTCTCCCTATCTATGCTGAGGTGAGTTTTTATAATATTTTCTTAAATGGGTTCTCCCTTTCTTTCATCTCAAGAATCTGTTGATCTATTTTCCTTGGAATGGAAATACAGGCTAGAACTCGCTGTGGGAGGAAGCATGGTCAGACCTATCCCAGTGAAATGCTCGCACCAATGTCCTATTTTAAAGTAGGTATGCTGAATTCGTAGGCCTTTGTTACAAATTTGGACAGCAAATCTGTTGTTTGCTGAGTTAGCTTGGTTTTGGATCTCCGGGATGAATGTTCACAGTAGCAAATCCATCTGTTCCCATGTTCTCAATCAGGAAGGTTCAACTCGAACCATTGGTAAATTGCCCTCATCGTTGTGTGTCAAACCATAGTTGATGTCTTATTACCTACATAGTAAGCATTAGATTTTACCTACATCATCATTAGTGTGCAATTAATCTAATCTATTTTGTAGGTAGTTTCTTCTTCATTCTCGATTAGAGATTCTTTCACTATTATGCATTTGTTCTCTACTTTTTGTTTCTGCTCTGTTCTATATTCGATCCAAATCCTAATGAGAGTGTTGGTTATTCTTTTTTTTTTTTTCAGGTACTAATGGCTATGCTGCTGTTACTATGGTTAGGAGGGATTGGAAGGAAGTTCCTCAAGGTAGTTTCTTATTAGTCCTTCATCATTCTGCATTTGTTCTCTACTTATCTTCCTATATCTATTATATTTGCTATGCAGTATAGTTACCTAGGTCCAGTATTGCACTTGAAACTTGGAAGGAATGCATTGTTTCTTCTGATCTTGATTGTTGTTCCAGCCCGTTGCTTCATATTGGAGTGGGGAAATTATAGTTAAATCATTTAACTTCTCATTTGAAACCAACAGTTTTAGGTGGTAGAGCACAATATCAATGGAAATCCAGTTTCCTTCTGTTTTCTGTATTTTGTCCAGTCTGTTTTGGTCGATATGAATATCTGTTAAGTGTATTGCAGTATATCTTCATTCGGTGGTAGATCTCTTAGCCGATTGCTCTCTCCCTTTCCCTTCTTCCCGCCTTATTAATTTCCGTGTTCTCTCTTTTTGTGTTGCAGGTTACAGTAATTTGTCCATTTTGGGTGCCCCTGACAGTCAAACTCACGGCACTCATGCTTCACAGGAGTCTGCGATCTGTTTGCTGGGATTTATTAAGCGCGGTAGCTATTTAACAAGTGCACACCAAATCTAACTGTATTGCATGGTTAATGGTGACTTTTGTTGTAAGATGTTAGTTCTATCTCTCAATCTCAATGAGCACTTCTACTACGCTATATAGTATTGGTGCTTTAATGTACAACTTAAAGTTGTACCATAACATTAAATGTATAAGTTTAGGTTGTACCATAAAGCAATTTGTACCATTATGTTATGGTACAACTTTACAACTTGAAGTTGTACCATCACATAAAGGTACAAGTCCAAGTTGTACCATAAAAGAATTTGTACAAAAAGTATAGGTACAATCTAAAGTTGTACCATAACGTAAATGTACAATTTTAAGTTGTACCATAAAGGCAAAATCCTATAGCACCAATACTATATAGCATTGTAAAATTTCTCCAATCTCAATAGGTTAGTTCTCTCTTTTTAATGGGTTTATGTTTAGTTTTTCCCCCCAATTGATTGCTCAGTGGTTTCAGAAGATATTAAACCAGCAATAACAGAACGAGTTTTTGAAGTGGGAAGGAAATGTTGCAAGGTTTAGATTGTGTTTGGATTTTGCTAGGCACAAAGTTTATAATTCAGTTCATTTCTTCGTGGATGGGTTACAAGAGTCTCTCAGGGAGGTTTACAAGGTTTGAGCCAATCAATCTAAAAGTCTTCTCCTTCAGTTTGCACCTTATCTACTTTGCACATACACCATATATTTCTCCATCTTCCTGAACTAATTCTCTCGCATGATTATATTTTCAGGTTGCTCATGAATATGCAGTGGCTTCCGTGATCATTAGTTCAAATACGATTGTGATTCTTGGATCTATTATATGCTTGGATGAATTCATGTCTACCTTCTCAATTTTTATACTGCTCTCCCATTGATAACTCCTTCCCCGTGTTCTTTTTTTTTTTATGTATTCTACTTTGCTTCTTAATTTTGTGGGTTTTGGTTTGCGTCTGTACTTAGAAACAATGTAATGAAAAAACATTTACTCTTTAAATTATAGTGATAGACACATGTATTCTACTTGAGGATATAAACACTAGTTGCATATAATAAACCGACGACAAGACTGAGGAGACTAGACCGACGGCGAAATTTTGAAGGAAGAGGGTGTTAAATTGAACGGGTGGTAGAGACATCCACGAAAAAAGTGAAGGGAACTGAGCATGGGTATTCCCGAAAAAATGAGAGCGTATTAGAAAATAAAAGTTTAAGGATATTGACATATTGTGGGAATATAGATAAATAACTAGGGATATAATTGAAAAAAAAAAAAAAAGAATCAAACAATCCCCACCAAACTATCTCAACAATCTCAAGTTTTACATGAGATAGTAATATCACTCATTTTGAGTGATTCTTTCCATCACATCAACAAAACAATGCATGCATTGTTGCAGGAGAAATCCCCAGAAAAATAATGTATTGTTGATAATGCACCACTTGTAACAATCCCACCTAAACTATCACCAAAACCAAACGCCCCCTTAATTTTGTGGGTTTTGGTTTGCGTCTATACTTAGAAACAATGTAATGAAAAAACATTTACTCTCTTCGTGTATGAAGGATTCATTTAGATGCAAAACTTTTATGGTACAATATATTTATATTTTCTACTAGATGACCTGCCGCGCGCGCCAGTTGCGGTTATTTGAGTTGTTCGTTTAGTGTTCAGTTTTGCATGCTCATTGATTAGGTTTTATGAAGTTACCGTGTGGAAATTGTGTTTTATTGTTGTGTGTTAGGTTCTTTTAAGTGGTAAATTAGCTTGTAAATGGGAGCAAAAAAAAGTTGCTTATCGAGAATGAGATGTAATGAATGGGAGCAAAAAAAGTCGTGCACCTATTTCAAGTTTCATTGAATGAAAAATATGATTAAATAGTCAGTCAAATTAAGAGAAATAAAAATAGACAGTCAAGAATGGCGCGAGATGGGGCAAGGTTGAAAGTAGTAACCCATGTACAGCCCAGTCAAGTCCGAAAATACCAAACGGGTTGAGTTGATATTGTCGTTGAAACATTTGAACTCTATAACAAACACCTAATAAAGATGGCTGGTGGAATTGTGGAACCGATTAATCGGATTGATAAGATCTCGTGAAAATATCGGTTAGTGGTTAGTGAATTTACGTAAAAAAAAACACCTGCAAATATTTATTGAATATGGTTTGGGTGTATTATCGAAGGCCCAAAAAGGGGAAATGATGATGGATGTGGAGATGATAGTTAGAGATCTACTCATTAATCATGATTCTCAAATTAAAAACTTGTATAACAGCATTTGAAAAAAATGCAGGGGTAGAACACAAGAGTAACTGAGTAAGGAACTGAAAAATGACGCCGAATGGAAATGGCTAGTGTAGGCCACGCGCTCTCATGGAAACATAATTGTTTTAGGCAACAGTAAATGGTATTTAGCTTTATATATACTAACTTGATAATTTCACCAAACAATTAGACAAACATGGCCGAGTATTAATCAAGTACCCAACTGTTCTATGTAGGGAATTAGACAAACTTGCAGAAACTCCCAGCTACTGGAACTTTTTCATGCTAAAGCTTCTCCTATATGTTGGTTTTTGTTTGATTTCTCGACCTATCAATAGTTACCATGTTTTAAGTTTGTATTATTTCATACCACCTTCATATAAATGTCGATTATCAAAATGTATTCTGAAGTTGCTTTTGATAATCAGATAAAAATATGTGCAATAATTTGTTTGGTAGACTCACTAAATCGTTAATTAATTCGGTTGATTTTCTTTAATCTTCGATAAACTGTATAACTGAAGTTCTATCTCGTCGCGGAGCGCGGGAAACAAAATACTAGTGGTAATTATGTGGATAAAAATCATATGATATTCAATTAGAATTTATTATACTAATCTGCTTTGATTTCCGAGTTATTTTATGTATTATAAAGTAATTATTTTCTTTGATTTCATTAGTCATGTCATTTATTCTTTTGTTACATATTTTTTGCATAAAATCAAATTGTTATTAGATTGATCTGCCTAAACAAAATTACTCAATCTAATTCGCGCTCAAATCAATACAATACCAATGTAGAATTTGAGATATTAGCTCCAATTGTAGCTTGCACAAAATTATAAGACCTAGACTGCTTTTAACCGCAAATATTAGTATTGTGACAACCAACGAACACCTTAAACCATCTTACCATTGTAATTGGATGAGGATGAGAAGTCCCTATCTTGAGGGTTCAATCAAGATCAAAATTTTTCAATAAACTAACATATGTAACATCACCACTTCATGCGGGAAGCACCTAAAGAACTAATGAATTTCTGTCCAAATCAGCTGCTTAATGGATTGATTTGAAGCTGAAGTGACATGTTCGTTGGCATGCTTCCAACGAAATTCGAAGAGGAAATTCAAAGCTGATAGATTCCAGCATGCTTCCCTAAAAAAAAAAAAAACTCAGCCTGGAGCTTTTGAAAGTGTCTAAGAAAACCTGAGTTGCTCTTTATTGAATATATGTTTATATACAGCAGTAGATGTAACAAAAGGGCGAATCCTACGCAAGAGGATTGCTAAAACTAAGGAACAGAATGAAACAGAATAGGAGAGTGGAGAGATAGAGTTGTTGGTATGTTCCTGAAGTGGTGGAGATATTTCATCTCTATCACGCCCCCGCAAGTGAAGCCTCAGAGAGGTGAAACTTGGAGCAGAAAGGATTGAATGATAGCCGATGGGTAATGAGCTTGAAGGTGCTTCTTGGCGATCAGCTGCCTCTTGGAAAGTGACTTGCAGGTGTACTGCTTCCCTGTAGAAAGAACCCCGAATTGGCCCACACCTAATTCTTTCCTGATGGTGTAGTGGAGCTTGACGTCCTCATAGGCCTTCCCGAGGATGGGGTCGGGTCTGCGAACCCTTGCTTATGCAGTTACCAATGTAATATCCAGCTTCTACGGATAGCTTATCAAAATTCTGGATCAGCCAGTGGAAGAAGAACAAGAGTAGAAGAAAGATGTCGTCAAGAGTTGAATTGAAGTGGGGAAGGGTGGGTGTTGATGAGAAGAAATATTTAGAGAGTATGAGGCAAGAGAACGACAGGAAGGAAACCAAGGAAACAAGAAATTCCAAAATACAGATCGATTGTTTTGGAGGGGGGAAGAAGGATATATTGTAGAGAGGAGAGATTAATTGATTTTGGAGGCGGTGAGTATGGGGATGAAGTAAAGAAGGGTGGAGGGGGTTTAAATGAGGATTTATAGCAAGGGAGAAGAATAAGGAGAGTTGTTGCTAAGAAGTCTCCTGCAAGCAAAACAGAGGATTAAGACGCCTTCGAGATACGAACTAACTGAACAGGCCGGTGAAGCTGAGATGGCAGAGATAGAGGGAAGAGAGTTCAGAAGAAAGGAAAGGGTTTTTGTAAGAGAAATGCGGCGATGAGATCAAAAGAGGAAGTGAGCTGCAAAGTTGGCGAGAGAGAGAGAGGAAACGCTAATTGGGTTATGGTTCTCTTGGACAGACGCACAACGGGACGAAGTATAGTTTTTGGATTCGTCGTTGTTCGGAGCAGGATTAGGACTTAGAAGATCGAAAGGAAAGCAGAGGTTTTTGGCAAGTGGGGAAGGTGGCTTCAAAGAGGGAACGAAGTCTTCATGGCGAAGTGTAGGAGGGGGGAGATGGGGATTTATATGAATTGTTGGGTCCTCACAAAACAGAGGAGGGAGAGCAAAAGCTATTGCAAGCAATTTTTAATAACAATTCTCATGGGGTGGAGTCGCTAGAGAAGGCTTAGAGAGAAAAAGGGAAAGATAGGATTTTGATTGGGTCTTGGACTAAGATGAGATAGATGCGGACCCTGCCGACCTGCGAGCGCGGAGCTTTGACAGAATATACGGACAGATGGTCGACTAGACGGCAGACAGGAGAAGATTCTCATTTGCGAGTGAATGATTAAAGCGAGCAGACTGAAGTTGGGAGAAGAGGACTGTCACTAGCGAAGGGATTTCAGGGAAAGGAGATAGTTGGGACATGGGGAGCTTCTCGACTGATTTGGGAGTAGGGAAAACATAGAAACGAGATTGTGGCTGATCGGTGAAAGCTTGTTAGCCTGGAGAGTGGGCGCACATCGCAGCGGCAGGAAGAAAATAATGTGTTTAGGGTTACTGGATCGGTAGGTAGGCTGTTAAGCAAAAAACTCTGATACCATGAAAGTGTCTCAGAAAACCTGAGTTGCTCTTTATTGAACATATGTTTATATACAACAGTAGATGTAAAAGAAGGGCAAATCCTACGCAAGAGGATTGCTAAAACTAAGGAACATAATGAAACAGAATAAGAGAGTGGAGAGATAGAGTTGTTGGTCTGTTCCTGAAGTGGTGGAGATATTTCATCTCTATCAGCTTTATCTTCTATAGTCCCAAAATCAACCTCTTCCCTCCTTATCTCGTTTTCATGAAAGCAAAAGGCAAACTGTGTTTACACTAAATTCACAATTGTAAAAAGTGTTCAATGGATAAAATTGTTGAGCTCGGGGAAGTGCTGCAAAGTAATTGAAATGCTAGCTAAGAGCTTAAAGCTTAGCTAAACAACAAGGATCCAAATGAAACTTGCTGCCACAGATAATTAATATAAATTATTATGATTAGCAACAAATAGATTCAGATGTGATGGCATGGAAAGATAGCTTTGTGGATAATGATATGGAGTACTTTCATTGCAGTAACATACAGAGTACCTTCATTGCAAACCTGACAACCTCAGCAGTAGCCATTGCATCAATCTTCATTCACTAGTCCATCATTGGCATCAGATAACCTCAGAAGCAGCCACAAAATCATTCTTCCTTCAGCATTAGCCATTGCCTCGTTCTTCATTAATAGTATTCAAAGCATAAAGCAATACTTGTCTACTGAAATATAAACAAAACGGGCAATGTGCTGTCACATTGATAACTGTGGTTACTGCAATGATTATAACAAAGAAGCAGTTAGATTTGCACTCCAAGTACAATAGCTGAC